GTGCTGGGCTCCTAGTGTATTAATAGAAGACCAAGATTGAAAAACTGCTTTCTAGCATATCTGTCCCAGATTATTAATATTCATTCAATTTATTTTTCCTAAGATTACGATCCTATAGTTTTCTCTTTTTTGAAATTGATTTTAGAGAGGAAGAGAGCGAGAGAATCACTGATCAGCTGCCTCTTGCACACCCCAGACATGTGTGCTCTGACTGGAAATCGAATTGTGACATCTTAGTTCACAGGTTGGTGCTCAAAGACTGAGCCACGCTGGCCAGGCTATAGTTTTCTTTATGAAATTCAAGTTCTAAAGTCTAAGCACCCACACTTAAACATTGATACCTACTAAATGTCAATTATACTTTAATTAGGAGCCCAGTGCACAAAATTCGTGCGGGGGTGAGGGGTGCGTAGGGGTGTACCTCAGCCCGCCCTGCACTCTCCAATCTGGGAGCCCTCAGGGGATGCCCTACTGACAGATTAGGTCTGCTTCACGTGGTTCTCCGCTTTCTGTGGGGGCCAGGGGCAAGCTGTCTCCCCCAGTCTGCTGTCTGCACCCTTGCTGCAGGGGACATTCCTTCCCCGGCCCCAGCCACTAGCATGTACGCCGTGAGTGCCTGGGTCTGGGGGATGTTCCCACCCTGCCATGGCCGCTCAGTGCCTACATGTGGGCCTACAGGCTCAGAGTGGCCTAGCTCCCGAGGACACCTGTCCCCAGGACGCAGGCTGCTTGGTGCCAGCACACGCGCAAGCGGCTGCAGGGCGGGAACACGCAACGGATGTTCCTGCCCATGTAGGCCTGGAGTGGCCGGGGGCATTCCTGGACCCCGACCACTTCGGGCCTACAGGCTCAGAATGGCCTGGGTCCTGAGGACACCCAACCCTGGGATCCAGGCCACTTGTCGTTGGTGCAAGCAGCTGTCCCACACCCCGTCGCTTGGTGTCTGTGTATGCAAATTAACCTGCCATCTTTGTTAGGTTAATTTGCATACTCACACCTGATTTGGCTGGTGGGCATCATGAGTCAAATGCATCTTTCTCTTTTATTAGTGCAGATAAAGCTGGGGATGGTGGGGTGGGCAATGGGGAGATAAGGACACATACATAATACCTTAATCAATAAAGAAAAAAAAATTAATAAAGCTGGAGAGGGCAGGGAGAGAACAAACCCATGGATATCCAGTCTCAACTATTTTATCTTATGGGTCTTTGCTATCTTTTAATATTTTAATTATCCTATATAATAAAGAGGTGATATGCAAATTGACCATCACTTCAACACACGTGGCCTAGCCCATGTGGACACAAGATGGCTGCCACAAGATGGCCAGCAGGAGAGGGCAGTTGTGGGCTATCAGGCCAGCTGGGAAGGACCAGGCCTGCAAGGGAGAAAAGTTGAGGGAGATCAGGCCTGCAGGGGAGGGCAGTTAGGGGCAATCGGGCCAGCAGGGGAGCAGTTAAGCGTCGATCAGGCTGGCAAGGGAGTGGTTAGGGGGTGATCAGGCTGGCAGACAGGGGCGGTTAGGAACAATCAGGCAGGCAGGTTGGGAGCCAGTAGTCCTGGATTGTGAGAGGGCAGTCAGACATCCCTAGAGGGGATCCCAGAATTTCGTGCGCCAGGCCTCTAGTACAGGTATCAAATAAGACTACATTTCAGCTATATCACCTGCCTTATGAAATGGAAATAGTCTTTTGGTACAAAGGTTCAAGCTCTCCCTATATGCCTATATGTATCCCATAATCATTCAGCTATCTACAGAGAGATAATCAGAGGTGGTAGGACTGCTGGCATAACTCTGAGCAAAAAGGAAAGTTAGTGGAAGATTTTAGTCTGGAGCTTTATTTATTTTAAAAGAAGTGGCTATCATTCCACCTGTTGAGAAGAGCCTGAGCAGGGAAGGGTCAGAAGCAGTGAGGCCAGCTACCATAATCATTCAGACAAGAGGTAATGTGACTTCAATGAAGGTGGTAGTAGTGAAGCTACTAAGATTTTGGAAGTCCTACCAACAAAACTTACAGACAGGGTACAGGGTACCAGAGAAAGAACTAAGGACCACCATGATGAGACTTTGTTCTGAGCAAATGAGGGGATGTAACTGCTAATAACTTAGATGGATGAACCAAGTTTTTGGTTAGGGGGAATATCAATCAGTTCAGTTTCCAACATGCTTAAGTTTGAGATAAACCTAGAGGAGTTCAGGTAAGATAAATTTGTGAGTTGCTAGTATGTAAACCATGAAGTTATGAGATCAGATGAGTTTACCAAGGAAGTGAATATTGATGAAAAGGAACACAGGTTAGGACTTAGTCCTGAAGCATTTTTATTGATTCAAATATATTTTATGATTTATTGATTTTTTAGAGAGAGGAAGAGAGAGAGGGATAGAGAGTTAGAAACATCGATGAAGAGAGTCATCGATCAGCTGCCTCTTAACCAGGGCACATGCCTTTGACCGGAATTGAACCCTGGAGCTTTCAGTCCGCAGGCCAATGCTCTATCCATTGAGCCAAACCAGTTTTGGCAGTCCTGAGGCATTTTTATATGCAAAGCTCCAGAGAGGGAGTAACCAGTTAAGGAGTCAGAGAATGGGCATAGGAAAAAGGAACAGAATTGATATCATGGAAACCAAGTTGGGGGGGGGGGAGGGGGATAATCTCTTAACATTGCAAATAAATATTCATTAATATCACTGAACAATAGAGCTAGGTATCTTGGAGATGACCTTATAGGTAAAAACAATGAGGCCAAGAAATTCAGTAAGTTGCAAAAAGCAAAAAAATCAAATGAAAGACAGAAGATAGTTAGGCAGATGTATTCTCACTGTTCAATGTTTAACAATATGGAATGTAGCCGAGACCGGTTTGGCTCAATGGATAGAGCGTCGGCTTGGGGACTGAATGGTCCCAGGTTCGATTCCGGTCAAGGGCATGTACCTTGGTTGCGGGCATATCCCCAGTAGGGGGTGTGCAAGAGGCAGCTGATCGATGACTCTCTCTCATCGATGTTTCTAACTCTCTCTCTCTCTCTCCCTTCCTCTCTGTACAAAATCAATAAAATATATTTAAAAAAAAAAAAAAAACAATATGGAATGTAGATCAAGAAACTAGATCCAAGGAGATGATATACTGAGTGGGAAGCCTTACACAGATGTGCTATTAGAATGAAAAAACAAAACAAAACCAGCAACTCTTGCCTGTTTATCCAGTTACTAAATAAACCAAATCGCCCATACACTGAATGTTGTCATTCCTGTCTCACCTTGTTCAGGTTCCTTTCTTTCCCTTCCTTAACAAATCAAACACATATGTTACTTCAATGTCTTTATGCTCCTTGCTTGACTGCAACCTGGGCACATGCCCTGATGGGAAATTGAGCCAGTGACCTCCTTGTGCATGGGTCCACACTTAACCACTGACCAACACCAGCTGGGCCCCAATGTCTCTTTATACTTCTTAAAAAATGGATCTTTTCATCCATTTTCAGAATATGCCTAGACATAAAACAATTCACTTCATCCTGTCAACAGCCTTATGAAGGAAGTATTAACCCTATATTTTTTTTCAGATGAGTTAACTAAGACATAAAGAGTAAGTGATTTGCTCAAGACTACATTGTTCAGTAAATGATAGAACCAAGATTTGAACATTTTGAACATAATGGCTCCAGAGTAAGAAGTTAAAAAAAAAAAAAAAAAAAAAAGCTTACAGATTTTGAGAAAGAGAGAAAGGGAGAGGGAAGAGGGAGAGGGAAGAGGGGAAAGAGGAGAAAGAGAAGAGGGGAGAGGGAAGAGGGGAAAGAGTGAAACATGGATTAGCTGCCTCCTGCCTCTGACTGGGATTGAGCCTGAAACCCAGGCATGTGCCTCGACCAGGAATCTAACCTCTAGAGGCATGGGACAATGCAAAACCAAGTGAGCCACACAGACCTGGATCAAAGTAAGAACTCTTAAAACACTATGTTAAGATCAAATCAGACAAAATATGTGAAAGCACCATAAATTACTGTGCAAATGGAGATATCACCTATAAAGGTACTTCTTGGAAGCTGAAAATCTAAATTAACACTTTTCACATTTTTGTTGGGTAACACCATCTAAGTCAGAGCTGATTATTTCAATACGTTTTTTTTTAGTCTTTCACAAACATATTCAAGATAACAAAAAACAAATTTACCAAAAAAAATGAAGTCCAAGACTTTTCTCAAGAGGTAAGCTAGCATCTGACATTACTTAATAAGCCTGTATTAAAAATATAGACTGTGATCTCAATTATAACATTTTCAATTAGATACTTAAATACATAAATCTTAAAATCATTGCCCAAACAAGAGAAATGGTAATATATAGTGGGCAAAAGTAGGTTTACAGTTATGCATATGCAAAAGTTTATCCTTTTTAAAAAAAAAATATTTAAATGATATTTTACAGAGAGGAAAGGAAAAGGATAGAGTTAGAAACATCGATGAGAGAGAAACATCAATCAGCTGCCTCCTGCATACCTCCTACTGAGGATGTGCCTGCAACCAATGTACATGCCCTTGACCAGAATCAAACTCAGGATCTTTCAGTCCACAGGCTGAGAGGCTCTATTCACTGAGCCAAACCGGTTAGGGCTGTGGTCAGCAAACTGCGGCTCACGAGCCACACACAGCTTTTTCGCCCCTTGAGTGTGGCTCTTCCACAAAATACCATGGCCTGGGCGAGTCTATTTTGAAGAAGAGGCATTAGAAGTTTTAAGTTTAAAAAACTTGGCTCTGAAAAGAAATTTCAATCATTGTATTGTTGATATTTGGCTCTGTTGAGTAATGAGTTTGCTGACCACTGGGTGAGGGCAAAACAGCTTATTCTTGAATTGCTATTTATTGTATTGCCATATGAACAACTATAAATCTAGTTTTGCCCACCTCTGTATATACAGCTTTGAAGCAGTACTCATTTTAACACTCCAAATATAGTCTTGGAATTCATATGGGGGAGAGAAGGTAAACGAAAAATCTCTTACCATTGATCTTTCAGGATATCCAAACAAATAGCCCCTGTGACAGAACTAATATTAGGATGCCATATTTTAGTGATAAACCGGACCTAAAAATACAAAGCATACAAGTTTTTAAATAACAGAAATAAAACACATATAGTTTAAATAGAATTACAAGAGAAAGAAATCCTCATATTTAAAGAGTGCCTATATTTACATCAATAAAAATATATATTAAAAAAAAAAACCTCAATAGGAAAATATTCTTGCCTAAGGATTAACAACAATAATCACAACAAAAAATTAGAAAACCTATGGTGCCATTTGAGGTACTGGAAATATAGAGGGGAACACTATGTAAAGTATATGATTGCCTAATCATTAAACTATACACCCAAAACCAATACATAATAAAATAAAAAATTTAAAAAATCAACTTTGCCCAGTTGGTAAGGCTCAGTGAACTAGGTCACAAACATAAAAGATAAAATCAGTGAACATCTCTAAGTGGTCATATAGAAATTTTGTTTTCTATTTTTCTTTGTACTTCAATATATAACTTTCCTGTACAAAAAAAACCTACTTTTATAATAATAATAATAATGAAAAAGAAATGAAAAAAAAATTTGTGTGAGTTCTCTACATCTTGGAACACCAAGTTTTTCCAGACCTAGAATTTAAGCCATTGTCAGATGCACATCCTATTATTCCAGCCTAGAGCCATTATTAGATGCCTGAGTAAGCTTGCTTTTCATCATAATTCTAGAAGCTGTCTTCCATTATCTGAAATCTTGTCCACATTAAATTTTCATAGTGAATAACTCAAAACATTCTAATTTTAATAAGCACTAAAATATATGTTATTAATTAAGTGGGCCAAGAGAAATATTTTAGAAGTTCATGTACAAAAATAGGCTTACAATACCTTAGGGGGATTAAATGGATATGTTTCTGGTATTTTTATCTCCAGTTGATATCTTCCTCCTAAAAAATGGGGAGAACAGAAAGTTAAGAACACTGCTCATCTGAACTTATAAAACAAATATAGTGGTAGAAATTTCAAACCATGTAGTATTTTATATTCAATTACAACAAACTCATTTTAAAGTTGCAACCAAAAAAGGATATAATCAAAAGCATAATTTTTTAAATTTAAAGCATACAGAATACCCATTTTATACAACTATATTAGCTTATTAGTGAATAATAGGGCTAGACATAGATAAATACATTAAATCCATAGATAATCCAATGCCAAAGATTTGATTGGGAAAATTATACAATATACACTCTGTCTCCTTTGTTTCTTCTTAGTCCACACTGACAAAGAGATGTTAAATAGTGGAAAAAAGAAAAATAGAAAGCAGGGAAGTATAAAGGCACAGATGGCATAGAGGTAAAGGATATATAGATTATGCCATAAATGGGAAAAAGTCTACTTCTAGCTGGTTCTCTCATAAGCAAAAATGTCTAAAACTTTTAACTTGTGTCCTAAATTAAATAACATTGCTTGCTATATTTTCAAAATAAAATTCAATAGCAACAGGTACACCTAAAGACAAAAACTTTTGTCTATAAATGGGTGTACAAAATGCAGAGGTATACAAAGAGGTAGTTCTAAGAAGGCAATATTCTGTTTTGAAGTTATATTGAGCAATTAGCAGCTAAATACATATTTTAAAAAGTTTATCTAGCTTCCCATACCTGGGAGAATAACAGCCTCTCAGGAAACTCTGAAGGGGAAAACCTTGCACTGAATGAGAAGCTAGATTTGAATATTAACTCTATAGAACCTAATTCTAAGACCCATTAAAACACAACAGTAACTATTCAAAAACATAGCAAAAAAAAAAAAACACAAAACCAAAAAAAAAAACCAAAAAACCTGTGCTTCCAGAATATTTACATATGAAACTACACCTGGGATTTGCTTCAAATAATCATGGAATGATCAGATCAAAGACTGGCCATGAGTTGAAAGCCTTTAAAGCTGGCCGGTGAATATATGAAGAATTCATTATACCATCTACCTTCTTCTATAGATATCTGAAATTTTCCATAATAAAAAGTCCTAGCTGGTTTGGCTTAGCAGATAGAGCATCGGCCTGTGGACTCAGAGTCCTGGGTTCGATTCCAGTCAAGGGCACATGCCTGGGTTTCAGGCTTAATCCCCAAAAGGGGGGCATGCAGGAGGCAGCAGATCATGATTCTTTCTCATCACTGATGTTTTTTCTCTCTCTCTCCCTTTCCCTTCCTCCCTGAAATCAATACAAAATATATTTTTTTTCAAAAAGTAAAATAAAAACTATGTGCTAGGAGCAATATTAACTTCAAAATTCCATACATTCAATTCTCAGTATATCATAAATTCTCTTAAATACTCCTCTTCCACTGTTAGAAATAGGTAGGTAAATGTGAATCTGGGAAAAATAAAAGCAATTCACTTGGTTCCTGTTTCTTCAAACCCTTTTTGGTTCCAATTCTTCTTTTCTTGCTAATTCTTTTTAATAGAGTCCCAAAGTGACTGATACATGAGTTGAACTAGATGCCTGAATCAAAGAGCATGAAATATATAGGAAAGTAGTCAAAACAAAAGGAACAAAATTTAAGATAGACGAGTAATAGGAGAAATTTTCTGAATACAAAGATAACTCTTTATGTTCAGTTATAAGTGCTAGCTTCAAATACAGGCATAATAAATCTGGCCTGAAAAATATGCAGATTCTTTTTCTTTCCTAAGAAATTTACTTTATATATAAATAATGCTGAATCCTAGACTCCCCAATCCTATTTCTATTCCACATCCTATTAATATGCTGTCTTGAATTATTTTTTGTCCTGAATTATTACCTGATAACTTTCAATATCTAATCATAGCATTATTTGGTATACACCAGAGCAACACAATTAAGGGAGCTTTATAACTACAATATTCATATTTCAACAAGTTTCCCTATAAAACATTTATTTTTGTTATTAACTTTTAATACTAAAATTTTATCATTTTTATATTCAACTTAATCCAAATGAATGGAAAGGGATGAGATTTTTTTTTAAATATCAACAATTCTATAAATTCAAAACAACTCAAGGAAAAAGGCTCAAGAATTAAATTGTTCCTTTCCCACTGAGCCATTATGAAATGAGAATTAGGTAACATGTGTAATACTGTAATTTTCTCATGGGTGTTCTACTTCTCAATCTGATTACTTTTAACACTGCATAAAATAGCTACCTCATTATTTAATAATGATTATAAACAATTTAACACCCCACAGGTAAATTTTTGCCTTAGCTAAAAAAAATCTCAAAAACTAGTTAAAAGCCCCACAATAAATATTATCTAACTATTTAACCATGTTTATATATTTTTAAAAAGTAGTATATATTGCCCTGACCGGTTTTGCTCAGGATAGAGCCTCGGCCTGTGAAATGAAGGGTCCCAAGTTCTATTCCAGTCAGGGGCATGTACCTTGGTTGCGGACACATCCCCAGTGGGGGGTGGGTGTGTGTGTGTGTGTGTGTGTGTGTGTGTGTGTGTGTCTGTGTGTGTGTGTGTGTGCGCGCGCGCACGCTGATTGATGTTTCTCTCTCATAGATGTTTCTAACTCTCTATCCTTCTCCCTTCCTCCCTGTAAAAACCAATAAAATATATTAAATTTTAAAAAGGAGTATATGTTTATGCTTTTGAATATGGTTTTCCTAAACAAAGTTAATATTTCTCTGCAAATTTTATATAAAAATACAATTTAAATTTATCTATCTTAAATATATACCCCAAAAACATTAAAATTAATCTCATCAAATATTAATGTCTCATAAAATGGCAGCTATGGAAATAAGCACTTAAAAACCACCAAACTTGTTTCTAAATAGCAAAGAATGTTATATTTATAATTTAATCATCTTACAAATAGTGTCTATGTTCCAATTTTTTAAATTATATACCTCTCTTAAGGATTGCCAAGAAAGTAGAGAACATTCTGCCATTTAGTTCAGGAAGTACCTTGTTTATATGTAGCAAACTAAAAAGAACTCTAGAATGATGTTACTACCCTATTATCTTTAAAACATCTGAACCTAAAAAAAGTAATTCAAGAATATTTATAATGTCTGCCTTCAGGAAGAAGCTAGTACAGTCGTCCTTCAATATCTGCAAGGGATTAATTCCAGATAAACTTCCAAAATTCACAGATGTTCAGGTTCCTTATATTGAATGATATAGTATTTTCATATAACCTATACATATCGTCCCATATACTTTAATCATCTCTAGATTACTTATAATATCTAATACAATGTAAATGTTATCTAAATAGTTGTTATAGTATATTTATATTGTTCAGGGAATAATGACAAGAAAAAAACCTATACAACCACCATACATCTAACTATTACATTAATATACATCAGCAAAATGTAACATCCTCTTCCCTCATATACTTTCATCTGTTGTTGGTTGAATTCACAGATGTAAAACCTGGAGGTATGCAGGGCCAACTATATATCATTACATACAACACTTACTATTAAGACAAGAACTTGATTTTTATAAGATAACAAAGATCTATTATTTAATGATTGTCAAAAGGACTAAATGAATAGCTTCCATGAAAGCATCTGAATGAAGCCTGGCATATAAGGAGACACTCAATGAATAATATAAAATTTTAAATATCTAAAAATGACTCATATGAACTATAAAAAAAATAAAATTTTATTATTTAAGATTTAGTAAAGACATTTTTAGGATCTTTAAAATTTGAAATAAAATAAATATTTAAAAAAATAATTTAAATAAATAAAATATTCTAGTATATTACATTCTTCTCAAAAATTTGAGGTAAATGTTCATTATAGGATTATAGAACCACATTTAAAATAGACACAATCGCCGAAGCCAGTTTGGCTCAGTGGTAGAGCGTCGGTCTGTGAACTGAAAGGTCCCAGGTTCGATTCCGGTCAAGGGCATGTACATTGGTTGCGGGCACGTCCCCGATGGGGGGTGTGCAGGAGGCAGCTGGTCGATGATTTCTCTCATCGATGTTTCTAGCTCTCTATCTCTCTCCCTTCCTCTCTGTAAAAAATAAATAAATAAATAAATAAATAAATAAATAAATAATTAAAATAGACACAATCATCACTTCTAATATTCAGTCAATCCTGATTTACTTAAAAAAACAGAAAAGTGAAGAGAAATATATGCTTTGAAGTCAAAGACTGAGACTGAAATCCCAGCTGTGCCACTGAGATGACTTTAGACAAGTTACTTCTCTGAGCTTAAGGTGTTTCTTCATCTATGAAACAGTGACAACTGTACTTACCTCATAAGATTTGTTGTAAAAACTGAATGAAAAAAATACATGTAAAACTCTAACAGTAAAAACTCAGTAAGTGTTAATACTACAAATTGTTATATGATTTCTATAAGTATTTAAATGCCTATTACATGCAAGAACCTTGGTTATGCTACATAATCCAAACTTATATTCATTACTGAAGATTTGCCTAATGAAGAAATAAAAAGCTATAAAGCTTTTTGTATCTTATCACCCAATTTCATGGTCTAAAATAGCTAGAGACTTAGTTTGTGAACATAAAATTCAGCAAAGCTGCCTCCTTTCTTTTTTATGTATCTTGAAACAATCACTAAAAGCTTTCCTGAATTATGAAAATCAAATATTTGTAATACAGCTTATAAGAAGACATGCGTGAATGAAATGCTCAATGACAAACAGGGGAGAGGAATTTTAAAAATATATAAGTATTTTTATCAGAAATTTAAGGCAAGGCTTATTATAGACACCATATGGAAGGGTAACTGAAAGTCTATAGTCCATATAAGTTAGAGGCTTAACAGATATGCTTTATACTATTAAATTCTAACCTATATAAGCTATAACTTGACTCTACTGAATCTATTTTTGGAAAATAAAAAAATTAGCTAAAATTCAGTAAGAAAAATAAGTCCAGATAAGTATCTATTTTTATTATTTAAAAATTGCTATATATCCTAAGCCAAATGAAATTACCTCCCATTTAATTTATAATATATGCTTAAGTTATTCTGATTTAATGTTTCAGACAAGTTCTAATACGCACAATATTTTGATACAGAAAAAAGTACTTGCCTTCATATGGTGTGTCTGGAGGTCCTGCTATTTCTCCTCTTAATTCTGTAAAATTCTCATCTACAAGATCTACTTTAATTTGATTTTTGCTCGTCTTAAAAATAAACAGAAAATAAATGTTAGTTATATCAGCAAGAAAAAAGCCTATTATAAAGTATTATCTATAAAAATTTTGAAACCCCCTATTTCATTAGCTTGGTTATCTGCTCTAGTAAAAATAATAGTCTGTGTTTTTCTAGGACTTAACTAGCCAGTTTTAAGAATATTTAAAACAAACAAAAAAAATAATAAAGTTTTCACTTCAATGTTTTCAATGAAATAAAACTACTTTGAACAATAGTACAATGGCTTATTGACTTTATAAGAATGTTTAAAGAAAAACAACAGACATTTATATTTGCCAACTTCAAGTATGTTAGGTACAAAGGGATAATTCTATTCATTTGTAGACTAACACTGAGATACTATACCCCCAGGTTACATGGACTCTATCCATAGAAATAGAAAAATCAGGGTCAATAAAAGCCATTTAGGCTATAAGCTCTCACTTGAAATAGTCACAACTCTAGATGTTTAGATTAACTGAAATATTACACCATCCACCCAGATGGTAAAAGCTCAAGCATCTAATTGAATTCCCTTTCCATAAAAATTCCTGAAGCCTAATTGCCTCCTTAGAATTGTCTAATGCCTTCTTCAATTTGTTTTTCTACTTAGTTTACTTCAATGGCAACAGCCTACTTTCTTTCCTTTTTTTTTTTTTTTTTTTGAAATATAATAGCAAGTTTAATGAAATCAGATTTGTATGAAATCAAAACATTCTTCTTATCTCCTAGCTCTCTGCCTCCCTGGTCAGCCTATCTGTCCTCAAAGCCATAACCAGTCTCTTTCTCTTGCTCTCTTTAGTCTTAGAGCCTGTCTCTGGCTATCTCCACAGTAACTGGTTGCCTGCAAAGAAGCGGTAGGCCACAGAGACCTGCTCCTGGGTGGCAACAGCCTACTTTCAAAACAGATTTTTATTTTAAATTTATATACCATCTATTTTTCGGCATATTACACTACTTCTCAAAGTACTTTATTATCAATAGTATCACTTCTCAATCTGTTTGTTATCAGAGTTGATCAATGGTGATTCAGAAAACCCTACATTGGGACTCACATTAATGTTCATAAGTACCTGTCTGTAAATGGGTTCTCCATTTATATTTTCTGGCCTATACTAGCATCTTACTGCTCTATATTTTTAATAGTTTGTCCTCCCCTTTTCTTAACTTTTAAAAATATAAAGCCTTAATATACAAGTTATGTTTTCATTTTTTTTGGTTAGGATTTAATATTTTTACCTAAGTAACACAATATTATCTACTCTTATGAAAATAAGCCTGGCAAAACCTCAAGAATAAATTTTTGCTTTTGAACCTACCTTCTTAGTCTTGTTTCCTCTCCCCACCCCAATAGAAGCTACTATTTTTACTTTTTCTATACTAAACTGTTTTAGTACAGAATGTTAAGTACAGAAAAAAGATACAATTTAAAACCTAAATTTTAAGTTTCATGACTCCTAATTAATCTTATCTTTTAATAAGAGCATAAGATAAAAAACTTTATGCATTTTGCCGAAACCAGTTTGGCTCAGTGGATAGAGCGTCAGCCTTTGGACTGAGAGGTCCCAGGTTCGATTCCGGTCAAGGGCAGGTACCTTGGTTGTGAGCACATCCCCAGTGGGGGGTGTGAATGAGGCAGCTGATCGATGTTTCTCTCTCATCCATGTTTCTAACTCTCTATCCCTCTCTCTTCCTCTCTGTAAAAAAAATCAACAAAATATATTTAAAAAAACACTTTATGCATTTCAAAATTAGTACTGTTTGCTATCATTTTTTTTATACTTGAGATTAAAATATTTCATATATTTCTGAAGACAATTTTATTCCCCAAATTTATTTTCCTGTGCTCTAAAAAAATCATTATCACCCTGGTATTTGTAGCAGAGGATTAAGTGTACAGTTTTAGCAATTATAATAAAATATTGTGTCCAGTATGCACAGCAATTAATATTAAAATGAAAATCAAAGGCCACAGACCAATTTAAGGAGCCACAAGTATAACTATAGATTTCCGTTTCTCTCTGAAGATTTATAAGTAATACAAGAGTACTAATCAGATCTTGCAAATCATTAATGCTTTCAAAGTTCTCTACTATTTTCTACAATATACCTTTATCAAAAAGAAGTAAATAACCAAAAATGTGAGGATACTAAAGGATAGGATTAAAGTTTGAAGAAAGGGAGGAGGAGGTAACAGAAATTAGAAAAGCTGCCTTCTACATTGCACCCAATTGCCTTGGTTAGTAAAATGGTAAATAAACATTATTAATCTGTATACCGTCTTTATTTTTGTCCTCATTACCCCAAATTATAATTGAGAAAAATGGGTTTCTCACTCTATGAAAGATTTACTAAATTAGCTCAAGAAAATGCAACTACCATGATGAAATCTATTATATAGAAGTATTCTATATGATCTAGAGTAGGGTCTTTATTTGCCGAGAAAATGGAGAATTAAAGACAAAGATTTTTCACAGCTTAATTTTTCCATTATACAATTATCCTTTATTACCTCCACGGTTTAATTCAAACATCCAATTGTTCTACAATCCAGAACTCCCATTCTGTGCCCCCACAAACTAATTAAAATCCCACTTAAAACTGAGTTAAAAGAAAGACATAGAAAATGGCAAAGGATGACAAATAGTATTAGAAAAGGCATGACCTTTGGGGTCAGATAGATGTGAACTGAATCCTACTTGTGCCAATCACTTGTGGTATTAATTCAGGTAAGTCACTTAACTTCTCTCAATTTTATTACTGTAAAATGAGAATACATCTCTCAGAATTATGTATATGAGAATATCCTGGGTAGAAGTAGAGGATGTTGGTCCTCTAACATTAATTACAAAAACCTTTGCTTTCAAAGCTTTATTTTATAAAATGTACTCACAGTTGTTTCAGTCTAATACAAATGTTAAGTTCTAAAAATAAACAACAGGCTCCCTTTCCTGCATTCACTAAAGATGAGCACCTGTTATGTGCAGGCATAGGAAACAGTGCAGCAGTGAGGCAGTCATTAGACTTTCTAGATGGTACGGCCTCATACCAGCCTTAGAGTGAAACAGGCTGACAGTGCCCCTACAAATAGTGTCCCTTTAGGTAAGCTGCTGTTCCTTCTTGGGTCTTCCCAGCATGATCAGAGTCAGGCGTCTGTAAGTGTCCTAAGCAGGACAGGAACAAAGTTCACTCTGAGGCTGGAAGAGAGGTCTGACTGGGCAGGAGGACCTTACCCCACTGTTTACCTACTATTTCCAGCTGTCTTTCTGAAACAGTCTCTAAGGTGAGGCCCAGAGTTCATTCTGGAGGATCCTGCAACCTCACTCTTCTACTTCACCATTGGCCACTCCCTTCCTTTTTCCCTTTGCACCCCAATTCATTCCCTTTTACTGGCTCTAGTAAAGATGAAGTTTGAACTGAAGGCAGAAAGCACATTTTAACCTGCTGAGAGTGGTACGCCTCTGAGGACATGGGAGCCAACATCAGAAGGAAGTCCATCCTCCGTTTCAGAGAACAGCCTAGCACCGTGGTCTGCAAACGGCAGCTCGTGAGCCACATGCAGCTTTTTGGCCCCTTGAGTGTGGCTCTTCCACAAAATTCCACGGCCTGGGGAGTCTATTTTGAACAAGTGGCATTAGAAGAAGTTTAAGTTTAAAAAATTTGGCTTTCAAAGGAAATTTCAATTGTACTGTTGATATTTGGCTCTGTTGACTAATGCGTTTGCTGACTACTGAAAAGATTAACCTAGTCCGAGTCACTGCACCCTGTGCCACCTAACTCAGTCCACACTGCCTGTAACCTGTAACTTATACCTTGCCTACTTTCCCATGCTCATAATTGTTAGTTTTCCATATACCCGTATTTTCCAGCGTATAAGACGACTTTTGTAAAGGAAAAAAAAGTCCACCGAAAATTGGGGGCAAAAGACCAAAATTGCACAAAAATTATCTGCAGATCTTGACGGCAAAGTAAGCCTTTTCTTTGAAGTGGGGGGTAGTCTTATACAGCGAATATAGGCCTAAACCTATGTTTTAACTGTAAAATTAGGGGGTCGTCTTATATGCCGGAAAATATGGAAATCGTTGTCCTTCGACACAATATAAGCAACTGGCTTTTGGGGAGGGATAGAACAATTTTGTAGATGACCTACTGCTCTCCCATACTGCCAGCATTACTGGAATAAATGCTCATATATGAAAACAAAATAAAACACACACACACACACACACACACACACACACACACACACAATATACAGAACAATGTGTTATTCATTTTAATGACTATAATAACCAGGGAAACTAAATAAGTCTTTGGATGAAAACTTAAAGATTGTGTTTGGTATCATTGCACTACATTTTTTTGAGAGGACAGCTGTAAAGTTGCTTTTCTATAATTTCTTCTCCCAACTCAGCTAAACACAAAGTGGGACCTCTGGTAGTCCTGAATTTTATAATTTTCCCTTTTGGCTCCAATGCATTTCTAACACATAAAAGGAAAAGAAATTAATAGTAAACATTTTTAAAATAAATTGTTTTGTTTAAGATATAACATACATAATGTATGCAAAATGGCCCGGTGCCAGGGCAGGTCATTAGTCATTGCAGCTGGTCCTGATGTCTGCCATGGCATTGCTCCACCTGGTTTTTCTGCTTTTCTGGGCCTGGAGCTGAAACACAGCTGAGGCCTACATGTCATCTCCAGGGGTTATTGCTTAAGAGAGTGGTCCTGCAAGGGCCTGTTGCTGATACCCAGGGCTCTCTGTCCTGGTGACCCTCTGCATTTGGCCCTTTGTTCCTGCCCTGCTCTTGACTGTGAGAATTGCTCATCTGTCTGAATTCAAATAACGGACTCATACGTAGACAGAAATATGGCGAAAACAAAACTTTTAATATATTCTTGAGAGCGAGTGTCTGGCTGTACAGGCACATATGGAGTATTGATCACAGGCTTAGCCAGTCCCTCCTCCAGTTTCCATAGGCTAAGAAGT